GGGTCTACCAAGCCCCATGGCTGACATACAGTGAGGTTTCACTTTTTGTTCACAGAGCCCACAGTCAAGCCTGTGATTGAAGGTTGGTCTATTGAGGAGAAAAATACCCTTCACGTCAACTGGAAATTGCCGAGTAACCACGAGCCTGCACATGGGTTCATTGTCCATCTCTTTGACTCTGCAAAGCAACTGGTCTTCAAGAAAAACATCACATCCATTTCCGTGCTCTCTGCACACATTGGGGGCCTGGAGGTCAACAAGGAGTATGGGCTGGAGGTGCTGGTGTACCACTGCACCAGTCTGGGGCCCCCCTCTGATCTCTACAAGGTCATGATCAACAGCAAAGGTGGGTGACGTGAGGCTGGGGTGGGGGAGTTGCTTGCCTTAGAACGTGGGAGACTTCAGGAGTCATTCCCCACATGCACCTTGTGGAGAATGAGAGCCCTGTAAAATCATAGAATCTTCTAAGCTGGAAAGGACCCTTAAAGGCTGTCTAGTCCAACTTCCTTGCAATGAACAAGGACACCTACTGCTAAATTAGGTGCTCAGAGACCCATCCAGCCTGATCTTGAGTGTCTCCAAAGACAAGGCTTCCACCATCGCTTTGTGCAACCTGTTCCAGTGCCTCACCACCTTATTGTAAAAACATTCGTCCTTATATCCAATATAAATCTCCCCTCTTTTACTTTGAAACATTTTCCCCTTGTTCTATCACAACAGACCCTGCTGAAGAGTCTGTCCCCTTCCTTCTTATAGGCCTCCTTTAAAGTGAAATAGATAACCTAGCTTTAGAAAAAAGGAAAAAAAGAAATCCAGGGAATTCTAACATCTTATAAATGTAAGAGCAACCATTCCTGGGTTTGGCTGGTCCTGTATCCCAGCTCTGGTAGACTACGAACAGTTACTTGCAGGTAGATGCCAGGTACATGGCAAAATTGGTCCTCGTGTTCTCACTAGATCAACAGCCTCCAGCACTGTGCAGCTGAGAAGCATCCAGAGTGTGGCATTCAGGCCATGATGAATGATGACCAAATATAGATCTGTCCTTCATACCCACAGTCATGCTCTGTCACACTTGTCTACACTTGTTGCCTTTCCAACACTCTGTAGTAAGAAGTTTCTCAGTGGGGGAAGAAAAAAAAAGAAAAAAAAAAAGTTGTTTCCTTTTGCTTGCAATAACCCTGGCACACTTTCACCTAATGGCCACATCCCATCAGTCTGACCAACCTTTCTGGTAAACCAGAGGGAAGCAGAGCACAAGGTGTGGCTTCAGTGAGGTTAAGAGCAGTCTGGTACGTGCTGGGAGGGCTGTTAGGTGTCAGGTCTGCAGGATGTAGTGCTTTCTCTGCGCTGTACTTTCAGAGCTTTGGGTAGCTGTGAGATGCGTGCTTTAGGATGTGGAGAAGACTCTGAAGAGGAAGTGGGAATGATAAGATGCCTGACAAAAATGAGTTCATGTTTACCTCCTGACATCACACCAGCATAAAGCAGAGGGTCTGTGGAGGTCCCTCAAGCCTGGCACAGCTCTGGTTACCATTGCTGTTGACAGGAGCTGGAGGAGGCTTCTTCTGCCAGCAGTGCTCAGCCACTGCAGCATCAGGAGCCCTGTGCTGGTACTGACGCTCCACTTCTCTTTCCAGGGCCTTCCTCCCCACGGTCGCTGTCAGCAGAGTCTGTGTCTGACACAGCCATCAGGCTCTACTGGCAGGTCCCTGAGTACCCCAACGGGGGCATCACCAAGTACATTGTAGAGCTGCAGCAGGTGGGGGGAACCAGCGAGCCCCAGTGGATTGACACCGACAATGGTGCTGAGACAACCAAGATCATCGGAGGCCTCAATGCCAGCACCACCTACCAGTTTCGTGTCCGGGCCAACTCCCATGTCCCAGGGGAGTGGAGCCAGCTGGTGAAAGCCAAGACCCTGGGGGATGGTGAGTGGGGAGGCCCTGCAGGCCTGCACCTGCACCCAGCCCCTCGGTGGGTGTCTCACCTCTGCACTCCAGGCACTACCAACTTTACATCACGGCACTGGGAGCTGTGGTCTCTGCATGGGCTCCCAGTGTGCCGGGACAGGGCTGAGGTCTTGCTGCTCAGCCTTCCATGCAGCTCCATGCAAGGCTCAGCCATGGTCTACCATCCTTCTTTTTGGCAGGAGCACTGAGTGTGCCACCTAGCCTGGGCAGCCAGAGCACTGAGCAGTCGGGAGTAGACCAGCAGCTGCTCTTGGCCATCATCGGCTCCGTGTCCGTCACCTGCCTCACCATCCTCTTTGCCCTGCTGGCACTTTTTCTCATCAAGAAGAACTTTTTCCACCGGCGCCGCACCTTCACGTACCAGTCTGGCTCGGTGAGTGCTGCCTGCCCTGCCAGGACAGTGTCCCCAGCTCCCCACGTCCCAGCCCGATCCAGGTCACGCTCCATAGCCTCCAGTCCGGATGCAGCCAGACCTCACCTCCACACAGAGAGGGTGCGGAGCCCACCCTTGCCTGTGATACCTGCCCTGTTGGCACCGCCGTGGGGCAGAGGGGTGCCCGATGCCTCTGACCTCAACTGCTCCCCTCTTGCAGGGAGAAGAGACCATCCTGCAGTTCAACTCAGGGACCCTGACCCTGACGCGCCGGCCCAAGCCACAGCCCGAACCCCTCAGCTACCCCATCCTGGAGTGGGAGGACATCAAGTTTGAGGACATGATTGGGGAAGGGAACTTTGGGCAAGTCATCAGGGCCATGATCAAAAAAGATGGCTTGAAAATGAATGCAGCCATCAAGATGCTGAAGGGTGAGCGTTGCGATGGGTCAGGCAGGATGAAGCAGGTGGGGAGGTAGTGGGGATGAGGTTGCATCCCAAGCAGCACTTTGGGCTGAGAAGGGGCAGGAGCTGTCTGTGGAGGACTGGTGGAAGAGTCCAGGTGTGCATCTCTGCTTTGCTTCCAGAGTTCGCCTCAGAGAATGACCACCGGGACTTTGCTGGAGAGTTAGAGGTGCTGTGCAAGCTGGGCCATCACCCCAACATAATCAACTTGCTGGGCGCCTGTGAGAACAAGGGTGAGGGCTGTCCCCCTTTCCCCACTGGCTACTGCCCTTTTTTGGAGACAGCCTGGTAAGACCTGCCTCTTCCTGCCCACAGGTTACCTGTATATTGCCATTGAGTATGCCCCTTATGGAAACCTCCTTGACTTCCTCCGCAAAAGCCGAGTTCTGGAGACCGACCCAGCCTTTGCCAAGGAGCATGGCACTGCGTCCACCCTCACCTCCCAGCAGCTCCTCCAGTTTGCTTCAGATGTGGCCAAGGGGATGCAGTACCTGAGTGAGAAGCAGGTATGTCCCCAGGCACACGGGGTAGGGTTGTGTTCCCCTCTGGAGCAGCTTCTCCCTATCCCCATTTCAAGCCCCAACTCTCAGTTCGACTCTGGCTAGCCATGGCTCACTGCTGTCCTCTCTCAGTTCATTCACAGGGACCTGGCAGCCAGGAATATCCTGGTGGGAGAAAACCTGGCCTCCAAGATCGCTGACTTTGGCCTCTCCAGGGGGGAGGAGGTCTACGTGAAGAAGACAATGGTGAGGGAGGAGCTAGGGGTCCATGGATCCTTCATGGATGCAGAGGGCAGGATCCCCCAGCAGTGGGAAGCCGGCTGGAAGACAGCTACACCATCCTCCCTCCTTCCTTGGGATGTCCCCTGAGGGTCACCCTCTGTTTCCCCAGGGCCGCTTGCCAGTTCGCTGGATGGCCATCGAGTCCCTCAACTACAGCGTGTACACCACCAAGAGCGATGTGTAAGTCCACAGACACCGGGGCTGGGACACCCCTGTCCCTCTTGTCGGCCCCATCCAGTCTCACCATGAACCCCTTCAGCTTGTCCCCCTCCTCATGAGTGGAATATGGCTGCTGGCTCCATCACAACCTAACCTACTATTTCAGGTGGTCCTTCGGCGTCCTTCTCTGGGAGATCGTCAGCTTGGGTAAGGCTCATCTTTTGTCCCCTCCACCCCCTCAGGTCCCTGCAGGTCCTCCTGCAGTTCTGGAGGGGACAACTCAGGGGATGTCAAGGGGATGGGGGCACCTCATGCCCCCACCACAAGCCACGTATGTATGTGGCTGCAGGGGGCACACCGTACTGTGGGATGACGTGTGCTGAGCTCTACGAGAAGCTGCCCCAAGGCTATCGCATGGAGAAACCCCGCAACTGTGACGATGAGGTGTAAGTTGGCAGTGCCCTGCATCCTCTCTACTATCCGTGGGAGTTCTTGATGGCTTCTGGCAGCCTATCCTGGTCCCCTGTGCACCACTGGATGAATGCCCCATGCCTTCTACGCCATGCTTTTGTCTCCTGCCCACTTCTCCCCAACTCCCACAAGCAGCCTTTCTGCCCACTCCACCCCGTGCACACACACTCTGTGCCCCCAGGTACGAGCTGATGCGGCAGTGCTGGCGCGACCGTCCCTACGAGCGCCCACCCTTTGCCCAGATCTCCATGCAGCTCATCCGCATGCTGGAGGCCAGGAAGGTGAGTGGCCACTTGACCAGCCACCCCCATGGAACCCCACCAAGCACACCTCAGCATCTCCCCTGCTCCTGACTTGTGTTCCCATGCAGGCATACGTGAACATGGCTTTGTTTGAGAACTTCACCTATGCAGGGATTGATGCCACTGCTGAGGAGGCCTGAGGCTGCACCCAGCTCCATGCAGCTCCCACCAGCTTGTACCCCCATAGCGGAGGGGTAAACGCCAACCCCCAGTCTGCTGGGGCACCTTCCCTGTAGGACTGCACTGTGCCCTTCCCAGTTGCTTTCTGATGCATGCTGGCTGGGGGACACGTGTCGACAGCCCCAAAGGACAAGTGCCAGCTGTGTGCCCTACACGGTGTCTGCAGCAGAAAGAAGGGCCCGGTCCCCAGGAGCTGGGATGCTGCAGCCCACGCCCTGGCAGGAGACAAGCATCCAAACTGCGGGGTGAGAAGTGGAAGCAGAGACCTGGCAGCTCCCTACCCTGCAGTTCTCAGCATGCTCCACTGCAAGCAGATGGTGAGCATCACTACAGCTTGGGATGCAGCAGCCCCAGTGAAGGAGGAATGATATGCACAGTCTCCAGCTCAGCACTTCCCCTTGGAACTCAATGGCTATGTTTTATGGTCAATAAACATTGTACAAGGGACAGCTGGCTCCATTGGAGGGACGGGGAGTTGATGATTTGCTGCTCTTCTGGAGGATGTGCCCAGTCCCCAGCCCTTCCCTGTGGGGTGTTCTGTGTGACCCCACAGCAAGGCATTTTTCTTTCTGGGAAACAGCCTCTTTTCCCCTGATCACAATTCAAATGTGTCAATACCATTTCAGTTTCCCACTCTGGCTTCCAGTGCTACTTGGCAGCTGCCATTGATGAGCATCCTCTGCTCCACGAGTGAGGTTGCCAGTGAAGCAGTGACAGGGACCAGCTGCTCCAGTGTGCCACCACCTCTGCACCTGCCTGCTGAGCTGTGAACATGGGGCAGCCATGCTGAACCAAAGGGTTTGTGCATGTTGCTTGCAAAGCGCTGTCATCAGATGGAGAAGGAAGTGGGACTGGATTGAAAAAACAACCTGACAAACTGGTGCTGGCTGCTCCCCCCTTCCCCTCCATGCCCCCAGGATGGCAGTGCCATGAGGCAGATTGATGCCAACCTGCCTGTGGCACAGCAGAGCCACACAGAGTGGGGCAGCGCAGGCTGAGATGGAGCCGGAGCCACCGTCCCACACCCTGAGCTCTGACATGACACCAAGAGTGCAGGTATCCCCAAGTCCCACAGTTTGCCCAGCCCATAGAAGGGGCCTCCCTGCTTCCTCAGTGGCTGTTTTTCTTCCCACCCTATGCAGCCAGCCACAAGGGCAGGACGTGCCGCCTATCTGATGGGAGCAGTCTCTCTTGGCACTGTGGCTGCTGGTGGAGGGGCTGCAGCACGGTGGTTTTGGGCACGGGGAAGTGCTGGTGATGGGGTGAGGGGAGCCTCCAGCCAGGCTTCCTGAGCAGCACAGCCTACACTTCCCAGATAAAGGTATCACCCTGCAGAGCCGGGGCAGCAGCCAGGGTGCTGGGAAGTACCAAGCACAACAGGCGGGATGGCAGCCTGCCTGCACCAGGGCTGGCTGCCTGCTCTGCTCACTGCTGTCCTGCTGAGCCAGCACAGCCCTGCCGTGGACCCTGAGCCAGTGACATCCCAAGGTAGGTCCTGGGGTCATTATTCCCCCACGGGTGGATCACAGGATCTGCGCCCTGCGGCAGCCAGAGAGATGTGGGATGAGGGAGATGGCTTCAGGAGGGTCTGCTGGAGGATGCGTTCGGTCACACATGGGGCACTCCAGGGTGCTTGCAACAAAGGGGTGTCCTGCTTCCTGCAGCTGCCAGACACCAATTTGGGGTGGCAGCCCTCAGCCCCATGACATCATGCTGCTCCTACATGTAATACAGTGGCGCTGCCCAGCTTGGTGCCACCTTATTGCCCCATGAGTTTTTTCCATCCAGCCCTGAGCCAGCCCCAGCAGGGTTACTGATGCTTTAAGCTCTCTCCTTAGGCCCTTTTACTCTTTCTAGAACACTATATAAAGCATTAACTGTACAAAACGTTTAATGTCATGCTCCTGTTTTCGCACTCATCCAAGATCTGTGGTCAGACTGCTATAGTGGTCATAGGAGCACCCTTTAAACCACCCCTACAGGTGCGGGGGTAGGAAAGGAGACTTTGGGCTCACCTTTTGCTTCTCTGCCCAGAAACCACTGCTACAGTGCCAGCATGATGCCTGAGCTTGCTTTGTGCCAGCTGCAGAGCTGTGCCTTGAGGGTGCTCTGGGAACCACAAGGCATGGCAGAGCAGAGGCAGTGCCACCCTGGGGCTGGGTGGGGGGCACTGCCAGGGAAGGGCAAGAGAGGCTGGGGTGGCTGGGGGTGCAAAAAGGGAAGGGCAGGTAGGAGAGAGCAGGCTGTGGTCTGCGGGCAGAGCATATGGGTGGGGAGGAAGAAGATGCCATCTGGGAAAGGAGGAACAGGGCGAGGGGTCATGGCAAGGTAAGGGGCAGGGAGAACGGGGGGGACACCTGGCAGATATCTGGAGACTTTGGCATCCCTGTGCTCATTCCTTTCATCTGGGATCAGCCAGCAGCACAGCAGTAAGGTGTGATGCTCCAGTTCACCCCTGCAACAACAAGGAGATCAATGTGCTGGGGAAAGGGGGCAAGCTCTCCAGCAGAGCCCATTTGTTGCCAAGCACCCCCCCCATGCCCAGGGCTGCAAACCCCACACAAGCCCCAGGCCCTTGCCGCTCCTGAAGCATTGCTCTCCTTATCGCACTTCCACGTGCCTTCCGGAGTGAGTCTAGCCGGGTGCTTCCCGCTGATCTCCAGAGCCTATCTGACCACAGGGCTATTTTGGGATGTTTGTTTGTCCCAAGGACCCTGTGTGCTGGGAAGGGGGAGCAGTGGTGATGTATGCATCCCTCCCTCAGTGCTGGCGGGGGACTCGGGCAGGAGGGGTCTCAAAGGGGATGAGGCAGCCAGGGACTCCTTCATGCCCTCCCTCCCACCAGATGCCGTGTTGCTGGCAGAGGTGCCCGAGGACATCCTCTGCTTCTCCCGCTCCTTTGAGGATCTCACGTGTTTCTGGGATGAAGAGGAGGCGAGTGGGATACACTGCTTCTACTACTGGTACAGCAGGTAGAGTCTGCGGGGACATGGGAAGGAGTGGTGACACTGAGGGACCGCTGCCATGCCCAGATCCCCTCCCTTCAGCTGGCCCCAGGCTCAGGGTGCTGGAGGAGCCCCATCTGTTCCTCAGGGATGCACCCACCATGTGTGCAGTCTCCACACAGCGCCGTGGGGCCAATGGGATGCGGCACATCTGCGTGTTCCCCAGCCAGGATGTGCGGCTCTTCACCCAGCTCCACGTTCTTGTCCTGGACGCTGCCACCAACCGCACCAGGCACAGGCGGGAGCTCAGCGTGGATGCAGTGGGTGAGTCTCTCCCGTGGCACAACCCTAATCCCTACACCTAGGTGCCCCTTCCTCTTCCCACCCATCACTGGCAGCATCTGGGCCTTGTGGCTGCTGTAACACTGGAGATGCCCCGCCACATTTCTGCAGGTCTCATCGCCCCACCGGTGAACATCAGTGCCCACTGGGCCGGAGCCACAGGGCAGCTCCGTGTGTCGTGGCAGCCGCCACTTGCTGACTACCCCAACTTCTTCCTCTATGAGGTGTGCTACCATCCCATGACCCCCACAGTGACACCCCGTGGCACGGCACCCGGGGACCTCCCTGCCCATCCCACCGACGGAGCCCACCCACCTACAGCCAGGGGAGCTGCATCCTCCCAGGGAACAGGGCAAGTACGTACAGGGGCTGCAGGATCTGGGGCACGTGGCAGCCCCCCACCCTCACCACTCTCTTTAGGGGCTGGTACAGGCCAACACGTGGGTGATTCTCCGGGAGCTGCAGCCGGGGGTGAAGTACCACATCCAGGTGCGCAGCAAGCCTGACGGCACCTCAATGGATGGTGTCTGGGGGCCCTGGTCGGAGGTGGTGGTCGCAGAGACGCCCCACTCTTCTGGTGAGAGACTGTCCGTCTCCGCTGCTGGGGGCTGCAGAGTGCCCACACATGGGAGTTGGGTTCTGCGGGGTCTGGGAAGAAGCAGCCACTCTGCCCTGGCTCTCACCTGCTCAGGGGACATTGGGCTGCACTGCAGCACTCCCGATCTGAGGTGTGTGCGCTGTGTGTGGAGCTGGGACCCTGCAGAGCACCACAGCACCCATGAGCTCTTCTACCGGGCATCTCCGAGTGGGGCTGGCATGAGGTAAACAGCACAGCAACGACACGGAGCTGTACCCCCAAGCAGAGAATAGTGGCAGCAGTACTAGCACCGCAGGGTGACCGGCTGCCCATTCCCTGCCACACAGGGATGAAATGTGGCAGCAGTGTGAAGAGGCCAGCATGGGGACACAGGGCAGACACACCTGCACCTTCCAGCCCACGGCCGGCAGCCCCATTGCCGTCCTGGTGAACATCACCCAGCTGCACGACCCACCCGTGCTCAGCTACTTCAAGGAGCCCTTCTGGCTGCACCAGGCCGGTGAGTCTCTGCACTCCACATCCGTCGCTCGGGGCGGGGTGCCGCCCCACGGCAGCGACAAGTCCCCACCCCGCAGTGCTCACGGAGGCCCCGCGGGACGTGCAGGCGACGGCGGCACAGGGCCGGCTCACCTTGCGGTGGCTGCCGCCCCTGGAAGTGCTGGCGGAGCAACTGGAGTACCAGATCCGCTACGCCACGGACGACAGCCTCGACTGGAAGGTGATGCAGGGGCCGGCACGGGGCAGCCGCAGGCCCCGCACAGTCCCAACTCAGCTCTGCCCGCAGGTGCTGCAGGTCCCGCGGGCGGCCAGGAAAGAAGTGCTGGACCTCCGGCCCGGTGCCCGTTATCGTGCCCAGGTGCGGGCGCAGCCCTGTGGGCCGCAGTACCGGGGCAGCTGGAGTGCGTGGTCCCAGCCCGTCGCGGTCGATGTCGTGGCTGAAGCGGGTAAGGACCATGCGGGGCTGAGGGCGCCTGGGTGGGACGAGGAGAATCGACCGGCTCTGCGGAATCACCCCTCCGTGGCAGGCTGGGTGATCCCGAGCGTGACGGTGGCACCGCTGATCTTCACCGGAGTGCTGCTGGGGCTGCGGTGCACCTTCCCGTCCCTGTACAGGTAAGGCCGTGCTGCGGGCAGCGGGGTGCACGCTGCAGCCGACGGGCTGCCCACATCGCCCCGCCGCCTCCTCAGCAGCGTGAAGCAGAAGCTGTGGCCGCCCGTCCCCGACCTGCACCGCGCGCTGGGTACCTTCCTGCACGACAGCCCCAAGCAGGGCCAGGTGAGCGCCGGGCCGGGCCGCCTCCGGCCGTCCCGCAGCCCCGGGGCCGCCCCGAGCGCATCTCCTCCCCCCTACCCAGCCCTGCGCCTTCTACAAGCAGCCGCCGGAGGACGCCGTGCTGCCCTGCCTGCTGGAGGTGCTGCCCGGACCCCGCGGCGAGCCCGGGGATCCTCCGCCAGAGCCCGCTGCCAGCCGCCCGGCGCCCAGCACGGACATCGCCAACCACTCCTACCTGCTGATGGGCGGCTGGGAGCCGCGCGGAGCGCCCTCGGCCCCTTTTCCCCCTGGGATGTAAAATATAGACCATAAAATACAGACCAACCACGCGGTCTCCCCGCTCTTTCGCGCCGCCTCCGCCGCCCCGCCCCACGCCCGGGCAGACCCCGTACCTCGACCCTCGCCGCCCCCCCCACTGCCGGGCAGACCGCATCCCGGCGGGGAAAGCCCCGCCCCACTCTGAGGCTCAGCCAATCGCAGCGCGGCTGCGCGAGGTCGCCATGACAACGTGCGGCAGTTTAGATTTGAAGCGACCAACGGGAAGGGAGGCCGCGCGGGTTTTAAAAGCCGAAGTGAACGGAAGGGGGGCGCTGCGTGAGGCTGAGCGGGACGCGGAGGTGAGAGGGGCCGGTGGCGGCAGCGGGGCTCCGGGCCGGGGGGCTGTCTAGGCCCGAACGGGGGAGGCCGTGGAGACGGGGGGCCCGAGGCGCGGCCTAACGGGAGGGGAGTGGCCGTGCCTGGCAGCGCCGCACTGACCGGCGGATTGCCCGCAGCGCCATGGCGCACTTCGTGTTCGAGGCGGACCTGCACGGGCTGCTGAAGCTGGACACGCCGATCCCCAACGCCCCGCCCGCGCGGTGGCAGCGCAAGGCCAAGGAGAGCGCCGGCCCCAGCCCCGCCGCCAGCATGTCGCCCATGAAGCCGGCCAACCGCTCCTACAGCGGCAGCAAGACGCCGTCCAAGACCCCCGGTGAGCGGCGGGGCGGGAGCGGGGTTGTGCCGGGCCGCTTTGGGATGCCGGGCGGGGTGGAGGGCGTCCCTCGCTTCTGGGTGCGCTGAGCTCCGCGCTGCGGCCGGGCGGACCGCCGCTTCCAGCATCTCGCCGGCCGCGCGATGCGGCTCTGCTGGGACTCGGCGCGGCAGGGCTGCGTGCCTCGTCCGCTCCGTGCGCTGTAAGTGGGAAATGGCCTCCCCTTCTCCGTGAGCTCTGGCGCTGTTGTTGCGGCAAAACCCGGGCGTTCTCTCTGTGGCCGCTCCCGATGTGAGCTCGCTGCCTTTATGCGGGGAGGTACGGGGGAGGCTGGGAATAGCTGCGAATTGCGGCTTGTGTGCTCTGAGCCACGGAGCTTCTCTCTGCTGTAGGCTGAACTGCTGAAGCGCCTCTTGGAAACGGTGTTCGTTTTGCTTTGGAAGTTTGTTGAATGCAAACTCTCTCAGTATCTCTAAAACAATATTTACGTATGTGAACGCAGGCAAATCTGGATCCAAAGTCCAGAGCACCCCAACAAAAGCTGGGGGGGATCGCTACATTCCCAACCGCAGCACGATGCAGATGGAAATGGCCAATTTCCTCCTAACCAAAGAAAATGACCCTGCTGAAAATTCCCCTACCAAGAAGGTGAGCACAGTACTGTGATTAATATGATTGTCACTAAATACCCGATCCTTTGTGACTTGACACAGAGAAAGCAGCCTCTAAAAGCAGGTGTGGGGATGAGGGTCCCCACCAGCTCCACTTCCTGAGCTGGACCTTCAGGAGCCTGCAAGGGGAACCTGTGCACATGTGGGCTGAGCACGTAGCTGCTCTGCAGAGGTATTTCCTTAAGCACAGGCTTCTGCTTTGGTCTGTGCAGCTTCTGACAGTGGAACTTGGGTTACTGAGACTTCTAAATAGAGGTTACAGAGATCTGTGAGCCTGAGCAGTGTGAAACTGCTGGCAGTAGCTATTCTAGGACAATAGAATATTGCACGGGGAGCAATTCTGGAATGTGCATGTAGTGCTCTGGAAATGTTTATGAAGCATTTGGTCCCTTGTGACTATAGTTTTCTTCATGAAAACAGCACCATGTCCTGCTGATGGTGTCTGAGGAAAAACCTACTTTGAGCTGCCTATATGCAGCTGAATCCCACAGTGCAACCAAACTGTCTTCTACCAGCTGCAGTTTTGTTTAAAGGTGGTATTTCAAATGAGACTTGCTAAGGGTTGCTTGTTTTTCTAGGAGCAACAGAAATCTTGGGCAGTGAATCTTAATGGCTTTGATGTAGAAGAGGCTAAGATTCTCCGCCTTAGTGGAAAGCCACAGAACGCTCCAGAAGGTACGATGCAGAGAGAGGGTGGTGCAATGCAGGGCCTGTTTGAGGGACTTGGGTACAGAGATCTGTGTGGGGAACTGCAACACATGTGGCCCTATTTCTGGCCATGGGAGAGATCAGCTGATCTCAGAGTTCTTTGCACACTGGAATCTCTCTCAGGTTTCCTGAAGTTCAGGGGTTGGCGTAACAGCTGGCATGTTTGTGTGAGGTTTCTCATTGTATTGTTTTATGAAAGCTGGGTTATGACTGCCAGTTGTTAACTTGCACTGCAGATAATGCATTTTCCTGAAGTCTGCCTATAAAACCTTTGAACTTCCTAGGCAAGAAAGTGAATAGTAATAGTCAAACATGTTCTTCTGAATTGGGAACCACTCTGATTCAGTGATTAATACTGTCAATAAGGCTATAACACAGTGCTCTGATATCCAGACCTCTTTTCCAGGACTTTGTTCTAACTGAAGGGGTTTTCTAGTTGGGTGAATGGTCAGGAGGAAGCAGGATATCAAAGCTGTTTCTCTGCACACAGGCTATCAGAATAACCTGAAAGTGCTCTACAGCCAGAAGACTACACCTGCTTCCAGTAGGAAGCATGGTAGATACATTCCCTCAATGCCAGACCGGATCCTGGATGCACCAGAGATTCGCAATGACTATTGTAAGTAGGCTGCAGTGTTGAGATCATTTTGCAGTGGGGTAAAAGACTTAAGCCAACGTGGTCTGATGAACGGAAACTCTCTAATGGGTGCATGAGAAACTGAAACAGCCCAAGACTGGCATTAACCAATTCTTGAGTGTCTCTGTGCTGCCTAATAGTCCAAAGCACCATGTGGGTGACTTGAATTGGGGCTACTTGGCTTGGCATGGTGGATCCCTGGAGGCTGCCCCTTACCTGCATGCACATGTGGCTGGTGCAGGTGGGAGATATGGCATTCAGCATTAGTGAAAATATTTCACTGCAGTGCTGTGTGAAGATGTGGGTGGGGTTCTGTGTGTAAGCACTGTGTCAGCTGCACTGCTCTTCCGAATTGTAGATCTGAATCTCATTGACTGGAGCTCTCAGAACTTCCTGGCAGTGGCTCTGGACAACTGCGTTTATCTGTGGAATCACTCTTCTGGGGAAATCATCCAGCTGCTGCAGATAGAGAATCCAGATGATTATGTATCCTCTCTGTCATGGATTAAAGAAGGAAACTACCTTGCTGTTGGCACAAGAAATGCTGAGGTCCAGGTGAGTGCAGTAAAATGAGAGGTGGTCTAAAGATTGCTGGAGCTGTGTGGCCTTGGAACAAAGTCTTGGCTAGCACAGGACAGAAGTCAGAACACACTGTATGTCTTTATCCTTAGCACAGGGAAGAGGAGTGTTCTGGCACTTGTTACAGTTCAGTGAATTGCTGCCCATTGTGGGAGCAAAGGGGTGAAGTGGATGACTTGTGACAGAGGCCTGTGGAGAACTTGACACTGATGTGCTTCTCTGCCGGGGAGCAATATTGTCTGAAGGTGTCCTTATGCTCATGTCATCATTAGGCAGTACAAATTCTAACTAGTTTCTTAGAGCTATGTCATCTACTCTCCAAAGGGCTGTAAGTGACCCTCACTGCAGTGGGAATCCTTCCTGTGGTCTTGTGACTATTAGTGGTTACAGCCTCTGTCTTGTGATGTTGAGGGTGCTAAGACTAGTATAAGGGAAGTGTCCCCACCCACCTGTGGCCAGTGATGAACTGCAGTAGCAAGGCAGACTTCAGGGATATTCTGATGCCTGGAATAACTGTTTCATACATAAGAAATTAATTGCTGTTCCTGTACAGAAAAGGTTAAATGCCAGAGTCTGTGTAGTAAAGTTTCCTGGCAAAGCAAAAATGCTGCTATTCTTTACCCTCTGGAGAACATAATACTCTTGCCTCTCTAGCTATGGGACATACAGCAGCAGAAGCGTCTCCGAAGTATGACCAGCCATTCTTCTCGGGTGGGATCCCTCAGCTGGAACAGCTACATCCTCTCCAGGTAAAGCTGGGGGTGAAGCAGCATCCAGCTGCTGGACACAGTTGTGAAGAGGTTCTGTGGCTGCTCTGCTCATGTCAACAGGCCAGTGATGGTGGTTAACACTGGTTGAATCTCAATGGCAATAAAGGCAGCCTTGCAATAGCACAAAGAGCTTTTGGTGAAAACGAGCTAGTCTGACACTGTGAATCTCCTCTCTGCAGTGGGTCACGGACTGGCCACATCCACCACCATGATGTCAGAGTGGCTGAGCACCACGTGGCCACTCTTACTGGCCACACACAAGAGGTGTGCGGACTCAAGTGGTCTCTAGATGGTCGCTACCTGGCCAGTGGTGGCAACGACAACCTGGTGAACATCTGGCCATCTGTCCAGGGAGACAGCGGAGACTTCACTCCTGTACAGACCTTCACTCAGCACCAGGGTGCTGTCAAGGTGAGTGCAGGCCTGCTGTGTGGATAGTGTGGGGGCATGTCTGTGTGAAAAGCGGGTGTGTAGCACTTGCTGCAGTCCCTGCCCTGGTGGACAGAGGCTACCCTGGAGCTGCTGTGGCCTGAGCTCTGGAAGACACAATAGGAAACAGGCTGCCTCCTGTACTTCTTAAAATGAACTGATTCTTCCTCAGGCTGTGGCATGGTGTCCGTGGCAGTCAAATGTCCTAGCCACTGGCGGTGGAACCAGCGACAGACACATCCGCATCTGGAATGTCTGTTCCGGCACCTGTCTCAGTGCTGTTGATGCCCACTCCCAGGTGAGACATAAACATCCTGGTGATAAAATTCTTTCTGGTATACACGATGGCTCCTGAGGCCTGGGACAGGCCAGGGAGCCAGCAGGGGTTCATCCTTGCTGATGAACATCAGCACAAGTAGCTTGCATGTCTTCATAGTATTTTTTGCCTCTCTGCAGGTCTGTTCTATCCTGTGGTCAACAACCTATAAAGAGTTCATTTCAGGCCATGGCTTTGCACAGAATCAGCTGGTGATATGGAAGTATCCAACAATGGCCAAGGTCACTGAACTTCGAGGTAAGCTAGGCTCCCTGGGGAAGGGAGGGCTGAAGGCAGATTTGATCCTCAGTTCAAGTAGTCTGCTACTTGTCTAACCTGAAGCACCAATAATAAAAAAAAGTGTCCAGGGACACTTTCTAGAACTATAGGCTGAGGATGTAACCTCATAAGGCTTCAGTACGTTATGGGGCATTGATGCAGGCTGTTGAGGCTTATGAGGGACACAAGTGCAAAAGATGGGGAGAACGATGGTTGCTCTTAAAATCAGCACAGCCCTGACTGTACACTTCCTTAGGTCATACTGCCCGAGTCCTGAACTTAACCATGAGCCCAGACGGTGTAACAGTAGCGTCGGCAGCTGCTGATGAAACACTGCGGCTTTGGCGCTGTTTTGAGATGGATCCCATAAAGAAGAAGGAAAAAGAGAAGGCAAACAGTGCCAAAAGCAGCATCATTCACCAGGGCATCCGATAAGTGCACAGGGTTGGTGTTGTGGGAAGCTGGGACATTGGCTTACACACTGTACAGTATTTTAAATGTTAATAAACAGCTTTAATTTGCCTTTGCCTTTTAAAGCTGATGGAAGAAAGTGCCATCTGTGGCTTAGATCAACAAGAAACTCTTCCCTGAGGTTTGTTTTCTGGGCAAGAAGTAGAGCTCTGTTTTTAGGGCCAGCTTACAATATGAGGTTCACCCCTGGCAGCAGTAACTCTTCACAAGCTGAAGTTAATGTCTAGTCTGTGCAAGCTCTCTTCAATCCTTCCTCTGGTGAAGTCATATGAGCAGCATCCCACTCCCTTTGAACATCTTAAACTAATGGATACAGTGAACCTTTACTTGAGCAAAGACCACCCCGGCCAAAGCTGCCATGCTACTCTGAATGTGGAACTGCATTGTCTGGGGCTATAGGGCTGCACCAGGGTACTGTGCACCCACCCCATAATGGGCTATCTGGGGAAGCCTGGAGAACTGCAGAGCTGTGAATAACATCCTAGTGCATGCAAAGCAGCTTAGCAAAGCCTATACACCTCCTAGCCTGCTTTCCCCCTTTTTTTTCCCCCACACAGTGCCATGCTGCACCAGGTTCCATCCACTTCCGCCAGGTGGTAGCATTGCGTGCTGTACCAGGCAGCCACTGCCTTAGCCCACAGGCAGCAGAGAAGGGCTACCCATAATGCTGGCAAAAAGGAGTATAGTGTCACAGCAGCTGCAGGAGGCAGATCCTGAGCACAGGAGTGACCCTCTCTGGAAAGAAGGCTTTGCATGTCTGAAAGCTAGCACAGTTTTTCCAGCTATCCCACTGTAATAGTGGTTTATCTTACTCTGGGCTTAGCTTGTCTGCATCCTTTGCACACTCGCCTCCAGAAACTCCACTTCTCCATGGCTCTTGAAAGTCCCCTGAGCATTACTGGAAGGAGATGGGATTATTACAGTGTTCTTCCCTTGGCCCCATACTGGCCCTGCTGCCCTGGAGGGAAGGAGCTCACATGCAAGCCCAGCAACTGCCATATAGGGTGTAAACGCAGTTTGGAACTGTCTGTCCCCAATAGGGAATAAGTGACTAAGCTCCACAGCCCACCCATGGAAAGATCACAAGCTAATAGGAACAATTGGAGGAAGGGCAAGCAGAGCACACAGAAGGAACAGCCCTCTTTTAGAATATCAAGTGTAAGTAGTTTAAACTTCTGTTACTATTTTGGGTAAAAGCAAGGACAGTCCTGTCTTCACTAAGAGCCAGCGAGAAGCAGGGAGGGGAAAGGAAGCTAAACAGTGGCAGCACTCTGTCTCAGCTGGATTGCCTCCTGCTCAAGCTGTGAATTCTGAGCACTGAGCTGATATGCTACCACTTCAGTAAGGACCAGAACTCTTCTGTCAGTCCCTAACCCAGGAGCAGCACTAGTAGAAATGGGGAAGAATGTTTACACAGGGCAGCAGCCTGTCCTCCTTCCTAAAAGATATGCAAGGCAGAGGCAACTGAGCTCTCATCCACACCAAACCCAGCTGCAGGGCTTTGGCTACACTTCCACTAAAGCCCTCCCACACCATAATCGAATCTACAGTGAAACTCACCTGGAGGCCTTCTGGGTTCATGCATTCCTCCTTGCCACACAAGCTGGCTGGCTACCCAGCCCAATTCTCAGGGTTGAGTCAGCACTCAGGCCTAGCCCTCCCACTCAGCAGAAGCTGATGAGGAAGGCAGCACTGACCATTCTGCATAAAAGCCAAACTGTTTCAGCTAGTAGAGGGGAACAGAACCCAGCTGAGGAAGACAGACTGCTGTAGCAGGAGCAAGAAAGCAGCAGTGGAAACTATCCTCCTGTCCAGCCTGAAATACCTTCTGCAGAGACCAGCACTTCACTCAGAGATGGCAACAGCTTTAAATAGATTCCTTTCCCTCTTCAGAAAGCAGCTGGCTGGTCTCCCTGCTGTTTTCCCCATAACCTGGGTTTCCAGAGTCTCAAATCCCCACTCCACCCCAATTCTGCACTATAGCCAGGACAGGGTTTCTGAAAAGCAGCAGCAGCTTCTGCTGGCCCAGGTCCCAGCCCACACCTCTGTTCCACCCCAGCCATTCTTTAACAGGGTGGAGCCACTTTCACAACAGGAGCCTTGACACACTTCCTGCCCTCAGCACCCCTCTATCAAAGCACTTGGAAACAATCTGCCATCTGCTTCATCAGCACAGTACAGCCCTCTCCCCACCAGCACAAACCTGCTACACCAGCTGCTTCTCCCAGCCCTGCCTCCAAAACCACTGGGCAGGACCAGGCAGCTGGAACAGCTTCACAGCACAGCAAGCCAGGAAAACAAGGGGCAGAGCCATTTCTCCTTCTGTCTGTTTATTTGTGATAGAAGAGCAGCCCAATCTGACTGGGCCTGGCTCCTTCACCTCATCCTCAAGGCTACTAATATAGCTTTGGTTAGTCAGAGCAGGCAACAAGCACCAGGCCCAGGAGAGCTGCTGCACTGCCCTGCTGAATGGCAGAGCACATCTTCACTCAATCCTAGCAGAATCCATGAAGGCAAGAGGTGTTCCCCATTACACCATAGCAGAATATGCTACAACCATCCTCCACTGTGCTCACATCAGGCCAGAGCAGAGCCAGTTCCAGGCAGGAGAGCCCAGCAGACAACTCTAGAGGCAATTATTGCTCGAGTCTCGAGTTTGCAGGAATGTAAGTCACCCAAAGCACAGTGAGCTTGGCCTCCCTCACTCCAGAACAAGCCACCAACTGCTATTCTGGATCACACATAAGCATGGCTAAAAGCACATGCTCAGCACTCCACCCAGGCACAGGAAAGAAATGCAAGGCAACCTGGGCTTATTATATGGTAGAGGCATTTCAGGGTGTCACAACCCCACTTCGTACTAGGCATAAGGCATGCGTATTGTACTGGGCAGCTCCGGGCCTTCAAGTACCACATATCTGCTGCCCCTACACTCTCCACAGCCACACCTGAGCACAGACACCAGGGCAGGACCCCCTCACCACCACCTGGGTATACAGGGACCACAAGGGACACACAGCATTGTGGCGTGGAACAAAGTGGCACAAGGCATGGTATAGCAGGAGCACTCACACTTGAGCTGGCAGCAGCAAGCAACCAGGGACAAGTCACTTCATCCACACAGGCTCTGATGAGCCAGGGAAGAGGAGAGGGCACCAGGACAGGGATCGGTCTCTTCTTTTGGTCCTACTCAGAAGGAAATGGCCCCCAGGCAAAAGGGCCAGATGCAGGCACTTGGGGGAATTCCTTTGGAAACACTGGAATGGGACTGCAGCCCCAAGTTGTGATGCAGGCAGCTGTCTCTCCGTTCAACAACAGCGAGAAACAGCACAAGCCCTCCCAAGAGCAGAAGTCGCCCACGGCTGCTCGGAGCAGAGGGGCTGGGCATGCAGACAGAGGACAGCAGGGCTGGGCACAAGGGTACAACAGTCTGTAGGCACTTGACTTGGCTAGTAGCACCCAGGAGCAGGGGAACAGGTCCCAGCTGCCTCTGCCCCGGGGCTCTCATTGGCTCTGGGAGGGCCAGGCTGCCCTCTAGTTGGCTTTGACCTTGCCGTTGGTGACAGTGCCATTCTCATGGATGCTGCTACCATTGTGCTGGGCTGCTTGTTGAGCCACCCTGGGCAATCGTTTGCCTTTGGTATAGGACTGGTACCAGAAGTTGGAGAAGAGGATGAAGAAGATGGTCCCATAAATCCAGATAAGGTGGATGAAGATGGGAAACTGGTACTGGCAGCTGGGCATGAAGTAGTACTGGGAGATGTGGACGGAGACAATCACAAACTGTGCCTGGGGAACAAGGCAGAACAGAAACAAATAACTCACAGGAGTTGCTTAAGGATCTCCCACTATACACCTTTTTTTTTTTTTTTTTTTTTTTTTTTAATTAAATCCGTAGTCTCTTTGCCCATTCTAAATACAGGTTCTTACAGAGAGGAGCAGCCAGCTGCAGCTGGAAGATGCAAGCATGAGTTTTAAAGCAGTGTTTGTCTATCACCCTCCCAACATGCCATAGCCCAGAGGCAGCAGGCTCCATGCCCTCACCAGGCTGTAAGGGCTATCAGAGACCACAGCAGGCCAGAGCTGCTAGAAACAGAGTGGAAGACTGAGAAAGAAGAACTACAGCTCTTGATTGCATCTTTCATATGTACAAGCACTGATCTGCCATTCACATCAGAGGCTGAGGACACACACACTACTCCATAGCACAGACTTACCAGCTGGATGGCTGTGATGTGCTTTTTCCACCACAAGTACTTTTGGAAGGCAGGTCCCGCTGCTGAGAGCCCATAGTAGAAGTACATGACCACATGCACCATGGAATTGATCATGGCATGGAATGATCCCATTCCCCCTGTTAGACACATTTGCACAAGAATAAGTCAATCATCTGCAGCAGTACTAAAAAAAAAAAAAAAAAAAAAAAAAAAAAAAAAGGACTCCTAGGAGTCCAGCAGTAGTGAAAAAATGCCTTCCTTGTTCAGCTGATACCAACTCCAGCTTTTCTCCAGCTATTTCCTATCTTACCTGGTCCAAACTTTGCTCCCCACCACCAGCTCCAGGGCAGAACAGAGTGATGGAAAAGGTGCAGGAATGTGACCTGCTCATTCTTCTTTCTCAGGACAAAGATGACCTGCAATGAGAGCCCAGCAAGCATCAAAGGTCAGCATCCTGGGAGCAGGTGAAATAACCCAGGCCACTGCTTCAGTGTCTGGTCTCAAGTGATGCTTCCTCCCTCCTCCTCTTCCCCCCAAGATCATTGCAACCACACATTAGGTTACCCCGCAGCTTCCAGAGTTATGATAGAAGTAGCCTCTGTGATATCCAGAGTGATCTCTCCCATCAGTGATATCAGATAGAACCACCAGCATTTCAGACTGAAGGGGCCAAAGGAGGCACCTACCACCTCAAGTACACTGGGCCTCAAATCCCTGCCCAAAGCAGTGATTAAGTTTCCCCCAAGAACAAGGCCTCTCCAGTAACTTACCGTGTCTGTCAGTTCAATGAACTTGGAAAAGACAAACAGCCAAGCAACACTGACCATCTGTAATAGAACAAGTTAACA